GTTTAATGTTTATCAGTACATTACAGAAAATAATGAACTTTATCTCAATATGCTAATTTTTTGAGAAGGACCTGTACAACTTAAATAATATTGGTCCTAACACTGACCCTTGAGGTACGCTGTTCTGGTCACTGACCTCTAGGGGCTCTCTTCATGAGGGAGCTTTCTCCTCTGTGTTTCAGTTCTACCTGGCTGCCACAGGTGAGGTGTGTTGCTGCTCGTTTACCGCTCCATAAAGAGTTTAATCTCAGAGGTGTCATGTCCCTTATTCCTGGGCCTTGATCTGCACTGATCTTGTCTGTGTGGTGAACTTGAATTTGCAACATAATGTGAATAATTACTGTGTATATTCTAAAAGTAAATGTGTTCTTGTCTTCACAGGGGAAGCTGGTAGGGGCTCTCTGACATTTTTGTTCCAGATCTTTTCTCCTGTTTTGTGGACAGCCAKGGAGCTCAGCCCTTGTACTTCTTAGACAGAATGGGATGTTTTGTCTGGCCTTGGAGACCCAGAAGCTAAAAGCTTCCCTGTGTTTGTGGTTTTTATTTTAATTTTTGTAAATAAACTCAGTTTCTACTGACATCAAGTGGTTAATTTTTTGACTTTGTTACAATAAAGATCCTGCTTTCTTTGCAGAAAAATGATCCAATGTTTTTTTTCTTAATTAATTTTGCTGCTTTTTACCCTCATTTAAAGGTTCWCGATGCACCCAGTCTTTGTGGGTGTGTGATTTATCAGACAACCTGTTATTCTTCATAAAGTCAGGTAGATCTGCTTTAGTTCTTCTGAGATTTTAGACATTTTAAATCAAACTCTGAGACGTTCAGATACTGCTTTAGAAAACACTATTGAAGTGTTGACTGTTGTTCCTTTATGGCCACAACAATTGTTTGGTCCATGACAAAATAGACTTTATTTTGAAGTTTGAATAGAAAAAAGTCTAAGTTTGTCCTGCAATAGCTTAATAAAATCTTTAATTGTGACAGAGTAAATATTTTCAGAATTACAAGGAGTTTTTGTGTTGTTTAGACTTTAAATATTTTAAAGATAAAGCCCTGTTTGACTGGAAACTCCAAACTAATGTTCAGGCTGTTATAATTTGTCCGTGTTRTAAAAGCTAATGTTGACAGGGCCAGAGAGGCGGCTGTAGAAAGATGACACAGCACATATATTTAGCTGTGCTCGGACGCTCCCAGCTGTCCTCTTCTCTCTGACTGCTTCTGTCCACCTGCAGAGACAAGAAGGCGCAACAACAGGAGCCTAATCCACCTGACATTTCATTTCCTCCTCACCTTCACTTCTTCCCTCTAACTCTCCAAACGTTTCAAAACCAGGGGGCTAATGTGAGAAGCAGAACTTACACTTTCTTTAACCTCAGTTTCTGACACACTGCAGTAACATCTGAAGGTTTGAAGCTGGATTTCTACAGTCAGGCCCTCCTCAGCACAGTCATGYTCCATGCTTGTGTCAAAATGTTCTTACCTGTCTGGCCTTTTCCCAGCAGGATTAAAAACCAAATAACCGGTGTATTGATCCAACAGGAGGATGATCCAGATCTTCAAAGCTAACCTGCTACGTATGTGGCAACGTGGCTGCCAGTCACGGCTCGCTCATTCTACTGCTCTGGAGCTGACACACACTTTAACACACACTTACACAAGCAGGAGTGTGGTGTCGTGTGTGTGTGAGTGTGTGGGGGGGGATCCGAGGCTGATGGGGGGGTGCAGGATGGTAGGGGGATCCTTCTAAAGCTAATTCAGAGCAAGGAGTAAAGTGTTGGTGAACAAAAAAAGAAGATAAATAAAGCTTTGCTGCTAAAGCTAAGCTAACATGACTTGAAGGTAATTTAAAAACTGAGAGTCACAGATGGACCTCCAGACACGCCCACAATCAAAGAATGTCAAATGACAAATATGTCTGCAGGATCATCCAAGACGTGGGCGTCAGGAAACCTGCCACTGGTGCCAGTGGCTCGTCAGAGGAAACCTGAGAGCCATAGACACACACACACACACACACACACACACACACACACACACACACACACACAC